TGCTGGGATGCAGTCTTTTTCTGGGATGTTCTCCAAAGGACTTTGAAAAAGGATCTGCCTCTCGATGCCTATGGCATCAGATTTCTACCAGTATCAAATGAAGAAGGAATACCTTTCAACCTAGTTATGTTACTGGGCCTGCACGGTATATGGCAATGTAGAATGGCGGTGCGCCATGCTGATGTTAATGCACGTCCGGTTAGGCAATATTTCTTTCAATCTGTCCGTTCGTGGAAGCACAAAAGGTTCAACAAGAGGTGCCCGAACGACTTCATCAAGTAGAAAGCCTTCTACAGATGAAGGAATTTTAAAAAGCCTGTTAAATGTTATATGGGATCCCGTGCAACAAAATTTAATTAACGCGTTAGAATCTGTTCAGAACCGCTCAGTTCGGTTCATTTGTTCTAATTATTCCCGTACTGCTAGCATATCAGAAATGAAATCTAACCTTGACCTACCCAATTTAACTGTCCGGAGGAAACTGGCGCGACTGCATTTTTTTCATAAGATATTTTTTCACAATCCATCAATGAAGCGAGACCTCATTTCACAACCGTCATACCACTCATCGCGCATTGATCATCAGCATAAGGTTGCCATTCCGTTTTGCCGCACCAAATTCTTTTCAGCAGCCTTCTTACCGAAAACAGCCGCCGATTGGAACCACCTTCCCTCTTCCGTTGTATCAATAACAGACCCTTTGTTATTCAAGACTGCAATTTCTCAGCAATGCTTGTAACTATACGCAGTTTCCATTATCTATCTTTGTCTTGTATGTGCTTGAATTCTTATACATTTTTAGTTGACTTCTGTTGCCTTCCTGATTTGCGCATCTGATCCTTGTTTCTTTATTTTGTCTTTTTTTCTTATGTGTTATATATGTTGTACCCACCCCCTCTGTAATGCCCTACGGGCCCTGAGGGTATTCTAATAAATAAATAAATAAATATGATGCTTTTTACCTCTTTTTTGTTTCATGTTTCTACTTTGTTTGACGTATATGTTTGTGAATGTTGTATGTACACAGGCAATAAAGAAAGAAAGAGGCAGCTGTGGCGTAGTTGGTTAAGCAACACATGATAAAGCCACTCGATTCTTGGCCAATACACCACAGTGGGTATGCGCCAATAACAATAGAAGAACAACAACAACAACTGGTGAGGTCGGTGGTTCAAGTCCCATTGCAGTTATCGATACTTTCTCTTTTTTTTTTGTTCACGCATGTATTGTTTTAACATTTGCGCCTCCTCATCAGCCCGACTTGCTGCTGGTGGTGGTCCCGTCCACAGGCCCTTTCATATTGGATCTTCGATGACTCTTGCAGGATTGACTATATTTATTATGATAAAGTGTTTTGCGAATAATGCTCTTAATCGGCGAGACGCGAAAAGACACAAAAACTCGAATGCATCTGGCTGCATTGGTTTCTTCAGCACAGGTGTCAGGAATGTTGATTTCCACGGTTTATTAAAGTTTTGATGACAGAAAGGTGCACTGCAACGTAGTCTTGGGCAACTTTTTTTATGTCGCTCAGTGTACCATCACCTGACGAGGTAACCGGCAGGCCGCTTTCTTTAAAAATACTGACGTGTCACCGCAATGTTCTCGGCGATGAGCACTTGACAAACAATGCCCAAGGGCAAGTGCCGACGGCGTTAGCCCATCTAACTACTTGTCTGTCTTGCTCAATAACACGCGCGGCCTGTGACAGCACGGGAGCATTCACGTAGCAACGGTTGAGAACGGCCGTACGACTTCGCACTTCACAAAACAGACGGCAATGCAGTAGCTTTGGCCTTCGTAGATCACAGGCTTCGTAAGAACATTACAATAAAGTTGTTTCCATCCACCGTATGAACACTTCGCCGACGCACTGGTGTTTCATGCATGCGCGTCCGGTCAGTCACACGTGAACCGTGCGAAAGCATTTATTTCATCGTCGACCTTGTCCTTCGCGGCAAGCAAAACTCGGCAGCAAGAACACTTTCACCTTTCACAACACCACGCTTGGCATTGCAATCTAGAAAACGCAGTACGTCCAACAATTGTAATCCGCACATCATACTGAGAAACTTTATGGCACACACACTCAGATGATGCTGCGGTGCGGTGGACGGCCGCGCTAGCTCCAACCACCAGGTTCAACTAAGCATCCAGCAATCACATGAAGCAGCGACCACACTCCAGTCCTCTTTGGGAGTGGCCTAGGCCATGGCCACGATTTCACCGGAGTTTTCACCACCTAACACATCGCAGGCGGCTACCATCTCGCAGTGTTTACCTTTCGCAGCTGCCAACGTTACTAGATACTTTTTTCAGTTTGCAAACTGCGGCGCCGCGAGTGTCACCCTTCCCTGTACCGGTCAAAAAGCCGCAAGCGCGCCCCCTCTCGGCGGTGCCGTCTGACAACGGCACCGACGCTGTCAGCGTTGGCGTGATCTGCATGGTGCCGGGTGTTTTTTAATGTCTTCAACTCAGTCATCGCTTTCCCTGTGAGCTACACAGCTCACATGTGTCATGTGATGGTTCTTGAATGTGAGAAAACATGCCTCGCTGCTTTGTGACTGGTTGCCGAAGTGGGTACGATTCGACGAAATCCGCGGCCGAAAAGAGACATTTTTTCAAGCCTCCCGCTGACGAGGTGCGCCTTCAGAGATTTCAACCATAAATTAGAAAGCAAGGAAAAGGTGGCTGTAGCAAACAAAAAAGCACGTCTCCTGTAACTCTGGCTCTTGCCTTTGAAGAAAAGTGGTTTCCAGTTTGTTTGTTTCAGTGTTCAGTAAATTGTGTTTAATTTGACTTTGTTCAGTGTTCAATAAATTGTGTTTAATTTGACTTTGTGTTCTCGTCATCTCGCGCATTTTATAGCCTTAAAAAGGCCAAATTTTTATTGAAGTAGTTCGGTATCTTTCTATGCTATGCACTTCGATTCAGGTGCACGTTAGAGAAACCCCAGGTGGTTAAAATTTCCAAAGCCCTTCACTACGACGTGCCTCATAATCATATCGTGGTTTTGGCCCGTAGAACCTTCGATATTATTGTACGATGAGCCACGCACTACAGCCATCTAATGACGCCGGATATGTTAAAGTGTAAAGCCCAGAACGACTTGTTCGTTCCAGATAACTGAATCGTATGATTCGCATTATTTTAGAAGAAAGATACCGAACTACTTCAATAAAAATTTGGCCTTTTTAAGGCTATAAAATGCGCGAGATGACGAGAACACAAAGTCAAATTAAACACAATTTATCGAACACTGAACAAAGTCAAATTAAACACAATTTACTGAACACAGAAACAAACAAACTGGAAGCCACTTTTCTTCAAAGGCAAGAGCCAGAGTTACAGGAGACGTGCTTTTTTGTTTGCTACAGCCACCTTTTCCTTGCTTTCTAATTTATGGTTGAAATCTCTGAAGGCGCACCTCGTCAGCGGGAGGCTTGAAAAAAATGTCTCTTTTCGGCCGCGGATTTCGTCGAATCGTACCCACTTCGGCAACCAGTCACAAAGCAGCGAGGCATGTTTTCTCACATTCAAGAACCGTCACATGACACATGTGAGCTGTGTAGCTCACAGGGAAAGCGATGACTGAGTTGAAGACATTAAAAAACACCGGCACCATGCAGATCACGCCAACGCTGACAGCGTCGGTGCCGTTGTCAGACGGCACCGCCGAGAGGGGGCGCGCTTGCGGCTTTTAGATGCGGAGCATCTAATACTCGAGGCTTGTAGTGCGGCGCCGTCCGCAAGCTTCCTCCTCCTTCTTCCACCATCTGTGCATCCCTTCCTCCTCTACACACCGCGTGCGCTTCTCCTTTTCACGAACATTCGCTAGCTGTATAATGTAGCGCGCATGCGCCGTCACGCTTCGAGAACATCGGCAGCTGACGCGCGCGCATGCGCCGTTGCACTTCTCCCCCTTCTCGAACATTCGAGAGCTGACAGTGCATGCGCCGTCGCGCTGTATATATACTCAAGGTCGGTGCTCGCTCGCTCAGTTGTCGCTCGTCGGTTGGTTTGTACGGCACGTCGACGTCCGAGGTCGCAATGATCAACGTCCCTTCGACCAGCGCCGGCCAAAGTGTTGGCGGAACCGCAACCAAGTCGTCGTCCGAAGACAAGGCAGCGCGGAGAATAGCTCGCGACGCCGAACGTAAACGTCGGCGTCGAGCGGAAGATGCTCAACTTAGAGAACGTGAAGCCGCTGAGAGACGTCAGCGTCGAGCAGCAGCACCGGATTCGGCCGCTTTGAAACGTAAGCGTCGACAAGAGGACCCGGACTTTCGAAAACGGGAAGCCGAGTGCAAGCGTCGGCGACGAGAGGCCGATCCCGATGCTGCCCGCGAGCGCAAGCGCGCCGAGGTAGCGGCGTGGCGCGCCAAGCAGTATGCCACGCCCAACGCTCGCTTCAAGCGCGACTTCCTCGACCGAAGCTTCGGCCACACCTGCAAGGTGTGTGATCGTCTTTGGTTCGATAACAACTTAACTCGGATCGGCAACATTTAGAACAACTCCAAAGCGTTGTCGGTTCTTTGCGATACGTTTGGAAAGGGCACCGACTATGCCGACTACGTCGTGTGTGCTACGTGCAAGCAGTCGTTGATTGCTGGTCGAGTTCCCTCGGCTAGCGTGAGTTATGCTCCGCATCCTCCTCAGTGTTCCCCCGAGGGAAGCTGCGGGCAATTTTTTTGACCGGTACACGGAAGGGTGACACTCGCGGCGCCGCAGTTTGCAAACTGAAAAAAGTATCTAGTAACGTTGGCAGCTGCAGCGCCCATGGCGCCCCCTGTATTCAAAACACTTGTAATATGTATTTAAATAACAAACCTAGACTAATTGACTCGTTAAACACCTGTTTAGTAAAAGTTTTGTATGTTTAACGCATTACGCACGAATAATTTACACATTTAATTAGCTTTAAACAATAGTTTTATAAGTGACGTCACTTCTGTGAGGTGCAGAAGCTACTTTTGTGTGGGTGTTGGCTGCTGCGCCGCGCGGCGCAGCAGTTTCTGCATAATTCCCTTTATGGCAGGTGTTCTGTGTCTATGGTTTCTTGCAGTCACTTTCGGTGCGTGGGGCCACAAGCTGTGCCACGAGGTCGTAGCAGGTGTTCTGTGGTCGTAGCTGCTTTCGGATCGTTTATCCGCGCGATGGAGACGACGCCAGAACACGACGCTCTTTTGCCCGCCGAAATGTCCGCCGAAGCGGTTTGTTCTAACCCGCCCGTCGCTGGCGTTGCGAAGGTTAGCAGAGCCGAGCGTGTTCGCGAATGGCGACGTCGCGTCTTCAACACCGACGAGGCGCGAGCCAGAGAGGCCGAACGCAAGCGTCGGCAGTGGAAGGCCAACAACACCGCCGAGGCGCGAGCCAAGCACGCCGAGCGCGCTCGAGAATGGAGACGGCGCCACGGCAAAACCGACGAGGCGCGAGCCAAGGAAGCCCTGCGCAAGCGTCTTCAACGCGCCCGCAACATCGAGGAGACGCGAGCCAAGGAAGCCGAGCGGAAGCGCCGACAGCGGAAGGCCAACGCCGGCAAACCTCCGTCGGCAACGCCTCGAAAGCGCCGGGCTCCGCCGGCCGATCTGGAGGCGTATCGTCGCCGCAACGCCGAGCGCGTCCGTGCATGGCGCGCCAAGAACGCCGGGTCCAACGCCAGACAGCGTCTCCTCCAGACAGCGCTGTACCAGCTCCTCCAGCAGGTTGAGAGCGAGGCACAGCGCGAGGATCGCGACGCACTCGGAGCAGGAGCGTCTTCGAGAGAGTCTTCAGGAGCGCTCTTTCAAGTCGACGTTCAACCCGTGACGTCACCCGCGCGCAACGCTGCTGCCTTGAATACCATTGGTGTTTCCTCTGGAAAGATGGTGTGATTTTTTTTTTAAGGAATTGAATTCCCAACAGATCTGTCACGCAGATGCATGAGTGATCTCGGAAACCCTTGCCCAGTTTTATCCACCCCAATTTTACTGGCACCATTGCCCAATGAAATGTGTTACACCATTGCATCACGCCATTGGTGGAATAGAAATAGGCTGTTACCTCAAGCTAAACTTAAGATGTTCAGCGGAAGAAGCTTGTAAGTTTGCACAAAAAAAGCAATGCTAGTACATACAAGTCAATAGTTATCAAACCAGGTAGCAAACAAGCTTTCTGTCTCTTGAATCTCTCAGTGTAGTTGCTAGTCAAATCTGCCCAACAAGTGGCCAGGAACATTAAGGAGCCAGCCTTTTAATGTGTCTTCACGCACTGTAGGCAACTGTCATTATGCGTAACACCTTGACCTATGTATGGCTCTGCAGGTTCGTTCCCGGCAGTGTGTTCGTCGTCCTCGTAGGCGCACGATTACCACACAAACAGCGCCGTACCAGTCTAGCGTTCGTGTGCAGGCGTCTACATTGCCTGTGGGATGGAATGTTGGTATGCGTGATCTTTTTCTCCGCAGTTGTGTTGCTTGTTTGCTTGCTTCACATTTAATCTTTCAGTCTCGGTCTCTTTGACATTTGATCATTCAGTCTCCTTTTGCCCAGATTGTTTTCCCGGATAATTTATCTTAAAAAGCAGTGCAACTATTAGTTCTGATAGATAGTCATCAAAAAAATTGTACCATAGAAATTGCACTTGTTGTGACCCAGCACCTTTTTCGCCACCATCTCCCTCAAGTTTTGGCACAGGCGACGTTAACAATATTGGCCGACATCACTGGCATACTGTTGTTGAGGTGAAATTGATGAGACAGTGCTGTGAGGTAATAAATAGCACTGTTATGACTGTGATGGCACAGCATGCTTGACAGCTGCGCAAATCAGCCCTTTAAGATACAAGTGAAGCTAAAAAAAGGCATATGTGTACGATTATTTGGTAGTTGACTTTGGAACTTAAACATAGATGACAGCTGGGAAAATTTTGGTATGGTGTAACATGTTGTATCCCAAGAACATTTCGGTGATTAGAAGGCTCTTTGCATGGTGATGTGACAGGTGTACAGACTCGCACCTTCAGCATCTCGGTGGGAACTCAAACCAAGGCCTGGTGCTCAGCCAAGCGCACATCCCAGAAAATCCATGCTTCTTCATCGGTATGTGCTCATAGTTCCAGTCACCTGACCTTTTGACATGTGTGCTAGCCACTGTGAAAATAGTGAGGCCTTGATGTCATATGTGCACTTTCTTCGCAGGATCAAATGCGCGACTGCAGCACCCGTGAACCGTGCCCCTCCAGCTCGCTGACAAAGTGCAGCGAATACGATACTCACACCAACTATGGATGATGTGATTACATGCTGTAAGTGATGCCAATATGAGTGTCATTCTGGCACTTGCAACACTGTTAACTGCATGCAAATTACCGCTCGCTGGTTTTTCCTCTACTGAACTTGGAACGGGACCACTCGGATAAAGTAATTCTAAAGACAAGCTGAGGCATATCAATATTTGCAAAGTATCACTTTTCCTCTAAATGGGGCATTCGTAAGTGAGATAAAGAGGATAACCTAATAATAGCGAAAGTTGGGCTAGTTGGTGGTTCATGCTTGGGATGTAAAAACAGCGCAAAAAATATAGACAAGGACAGAGGAAGCGCAGTGTCATCTCTTTCTCTGTCCCTGTCTATATTTTTTGCGCTGTTTTTACATCCCAAAGATAACCTAAGACACAATAGACTCTTCTCGTTATTTGTAAATTTGCTTCCCTGCATTGCAAATTTACCCAACTAATGGCAGTACCTGTAGTGCCTACAGTGGAAAGGTCCAATCTAAACACACTAATGGGGCTTCCAATTATGCATGTTGATATCCTAAGAGCTGGGTACATTTTTCATGTCATAGTGCAAAAAACCAATTCAGCTTTAATACGTTGTTTGCAGAAGTGATTAGCCACCATTAGTTGGGTTATTTGTATCGCAAGAAAGCTAGGTGTACAATTACAAAAAGGGTCTTATGCTGTACTATTGTAAAAATGGGTACCACATTTATATGATGTTGTATTTTGTGCCACTTCTGTGTTTAGTAATTTGTGTATTCTGACCACACTTTTTAAGGCTGAATTCTGATCCGCATAGACGCTGGGTGTCCAGCAACCTGGAAAAGTCAGGGAATTTGGAACCTTCTGGAAAATTCAGGGAATTTTCGAAAAACCTGGCCAGGTCATGGAAACGGACAGCAATTCTGTGTGACCGTTGCAAAAATAAGCATTACGATAAATCAAAGCTTAAAAAAAGTCTCTCAGCAGCAAGTACAGTGAGCTGCTAGAAGGTGTGTGAAAGACACAGAACACAAAGTTTACTAACGTTTCAGTACCCGATATGGGAGGGAGCCTTGTTCTCAATAAAAGCCATAAGAAAGGCACAGCGTGCTTAGGCACGCCCAGATATAAGCAGCGAGAGTACATTGTCAGAAACGTTCCGTCACTCTTGTTCAGCGTATGTACAGTCGTCTGTATCTGGATTACAAGTGCAGGCATAATGCAAACTTCTTTCAAATGCGGAGCATTTCATAGTCGCACCTACTCGCAAATCCGGCGTTGGGGGTGGTGTCTACACTGTGCATGCTCGCGTCTCATGCCACCTGTCGCTCTCCCTCGCCTTGCAAGGCTGATACAGCAGCGTCTGCTAGTAAAAACCGACTGCTCGCGCTGCACAAGCGTTCACTGACCAACCCGTGTATGTAGGCACTGGATCGGGCGTTTGTAATTCAGTCAAGGGCTTCTTTGCTTGGCTTTCGCTTGACTTTCGCTTGACTTGACGCTTTGCTTCACTCGTGTAGATGCGATGGAAGCATCAGTAATTTCAACCAGTAGTGGGGCACAACCCAACAGTGTCCCACCACTCGCTGAAAGCAATGCTTTTCTTTCATTTAATTTTTAAAAAATATGAACAATAAAGATGAAATAACAATTAAGTGTTCCCGGACCTTACCCAATTACGGAACATTCACGCGACACTTCCACCACTCCATGATGCATTTATTGAGTCCCCCCACTATAGGAAAATGCAGGTTTTTTCTTTTTCCAGAACACACGAGTTTTACAAGTCTATTTTATGGTCTGTAGGTTCCGCATGTTCAGCGAGGGCTGTTGAGGCCACACGTTGTTTTGTGATGTCATATTTGTGTTGTTTAATTCTTTTCATGAAATCACCAGTTTCACCAATGTACTGGTTGTCACGATTGTGACAGCCTATGGCATAAACAAGACCAAGGAAATTTCTGTGTGGCAACTTGTCCTTCAGAGTGGCTAAAGCATTCCTTAGCTTCCATGTTGGTACATCTACTATTTTGATGTCTGTTGCTTCTACATATTACACAGCAACCACAACTTTACTTTACACAACTTTACCACAGAACCACAACTTTACTCATGTCTGTAAATTTATGCATGTTTGTCTATGCCACGATTTCGGTTCAACTTGAAGGCCGTCACGCTGCAATCCGAAGAGGACATGACGGCGCGAATTATTGAAATGGTCAACGCATCCGTTGCTGAAGCCCTCCGCACGACAGTCCAAACCACGGTCGTCAACGCCGTTCGTGCCGCCGTAACAGAAGCCTTCGCAACCGTAGACTCACGCCTAACGAACATAGAGACACGGTTCTCAAACATGGAAGCCACCGTAAACAACACCGTAGCCGGATTAGAAGCACTCAGAACTGCCACAGACACCAGTTTTGCAGTAATCAAGCAAAGCATGGCCAGAGCACCAGCTATCACACGCAACCGAGTGACCTCTCACTCTTCCACCCAGCACAGCGAACCCACGACGGCCTCAAGTAATGCTCCAGCTGCTGCATCATGGCCAGCACCCACTTGACTATATGGCAGTGGAACTGCAGGGGCTTTCGTAAAAAGAAAGCCCACCTGCAGCTACTCGTACAAGAAACACAACTGCCCAATTGCCAAACGCCTCCAGACGTCATCGCACTACAAGAAACAATGGCTTCTGTCTCACTCCCTGGTTACATCGCTTTCCAACAATTCACCGACTCGCACAACCAAGAAGCCCCAAGTACAGGCACGCTCGTCCACAAGAGCCTCACGGCGAAACAACACGACTTAGAATTCTCGGACATTCCACACACGGTCGTTGAAATTCTTCCGCGAAAACGCTCGCACCAATCAGTCTTCATCCTCAACGTATATTGCGCACCCCGGGCACGCGCCGACGACTTCAACCTGCTCTTCCAGAAAACCACATCGCTTTCTCGAGGCGCACAACTGCTTATACTGGGCGATTTCAACGCCAGGCACCCTGACTGGGGCTACCTGCAGGCGAACAAACGAGGCAAGAAGCTATGGCAACTCGGTCAGGACCTCCGGCTCACTCTACTAAATGACCTGGCGGACAAATACATCAACCAAGCCCATCAACCAGCGACACCGCTACCACCCTATGAAGGTAAACCAAATCCAACTCTTGATGCCGACATCACAGAAGCCGAAGTGTATGCAGCCATTCTAAAGCTTCGCACAACTTCGGCACCAGGTCCAGACGGCGTCTCGAACAAAACAATCCGCAACCTAGACGCAAGGTCAGTAACTGCCCTTACTGAATATTTCAATGACTGCTGGCATGCCGGAAATATACCAGAAGAATGGAAGCACGCGAAAATAGTGTTTATACCAAAGCCCGGAAAAAAGGCAGACTTATCAAATCTTCGCCCCATCTCGTTAACTTCATGCCTTGGCAAACTATTTGAGCACGTGGTCTTGGCTCGGCTAGAAACACTTGCAGAAGAGCAAGACCTTTTCCCTCCAACCATGCTCGGTTTTCGCGCCCACTTATCTACTCAAGACGCCCTCGTACAAATCTACCACGATTTGTTGAAAGACCCCGTACGTGCGGGCACGCGAGCAATGCTAGGCATAGACCTACGCAAGGCGTTCGATAACGTAACACATGAAGCGATAGCCCAGCACTTGGCTTCAACAAACCCTGGGGAACGTATTTACAACTACGTGTGCTCTTTCCTCCAAGGCCGTACTGTGGAACTTTCCCTGATTGACAGCAACGCCACGAAGAGACTTGCCCTATCCAACAAAGGCACGCCACAGGGAGCTGTTCTTTCACCTTTCCTCTTCAACCTTGTAATGAGCCAACTCCCACAGTTACTAGACTGCATACCCAATATCCGACACACCCTATACGCGGACGACGTGACGGTATGGACCACTACTGGCTCCGACGGACAGATCGAGGAGGCACTGCAACGTGCTGTGGACACAGTGGCCGGATACGTCGCGTGTGCAGGTCTCGAATGCTCAGTGGAGAAATCTGAACTCCTCCTTCTTCGTCCTCCTGACTACCGTAAGGTTAAACACCCGCCACTACCAACCATCACTCTCAGAATGGCCGGATCCGAAATACCGATAGTGCAGCACATGCGGGTACTCGGCCTTCACGTACAAGCCGGCAGGGGCAATACCGTCGCACTAGAGAGGCTTGCGGTCACCGTCACTCAGACTGCCCGTCTGTTAGGAAGAATCTCCGCGCGGAAACACGGCATGAAAGAAAAGGAACTTCTCCAGCTGTTAAACGCCTTCGTAACCACAAGAATAACTTATGCCTTACCGTACCTACGACTCCTCCAGGCTGAAAAAGAAAAAGTAGACAGACTTATTCGCACAGTCCACAAGATCGCTTTGGGCCTCTCCCGCACCACATCGACCATGCACCTCCTCAGCCTTGGAATTCACAATACAATAGATGAACTTATCGAGGCTCACCGAACTGCACAAATTGAACGATTGCGTGGTAGTAAAACCGGAAGATGGATACTTCAACGTATCGGAATTCCCTCGTCACCAAGCGGACAAGACTTGATCTCGCTACCGCCTCTCCTCAGACAGCGCTTCATTGTGCAGCCGCTGCCGAAAAACATGCTGGCCGGCATTCATGACGGTAGACGATCAGCCCGCGCCAGAAACCTTCACAATACCTATGGTACGAACACAAAAGTGGCTCACGTCGACGCGGCAAGCTACCCAACCCCCAAACAAGCCTTTGCAATCAACGTCTCGTCGAAACGTACCCCAGTCGATATAGAGCCTACCACGAGGTGCGCCGGCTCCATACGCACACAAGACCCAACCGAGGCCGAAGAAGCTGCCATAGCACTCGCCGCAATGGCCGGTTTTGAAACAATTATCAGTGACTCCAAATCTGCTATCATCCGATTTGCCCGGGGCACTGTTTCCCCAACCACGGCGCGCATCCTCCGTCCTCTGCCCCGAGCGGCACGCAACGCCTCAGGCGACACTACTGCCAGCAGCACCGACGATGACGATCCTCGTTTAATCCAACTCATCTGGGTCCCAGCGCACGCAGGAAACCCGGGCAACGAAGCCGCCCACAGACAAGCTCGAGGACTCGTATGCCGAGCGGTGGGCCAGACTTCGGACCACGATATCGAAGCAACTGAAGCACTCATCACCTTTCACGACATCACACAGTACTACAAGCTATCAAGGCAAACCAGACCACCCCCGCACCCGGAACTAAACAAAGCTCAACAAATCACTTGGCGGCGGCTTCAAACGAACTCATTCCCTTCCCCGTACATATACAGGCACATATACCCTGCCTTATTCACATCTACGTGCACCCTTTGCAAGACCCAGACCGCAACCTTGGATCACATCATCTGGGGATGCAGCAAGGACCCTCCCCCACCAAACCTCCTAGGACAGTCACCTTCAAGTGAGGCCTGGGAGAGAATCCTCACGACCACAAGCCTGGACACCCAGCTCCGGGCCATCAAACGCGCTGACGAGGTGGCGACCAGGCATGGCCTGACAGCCCTCGCCACTTAGGAAACCGTCAGCTGCCTTAATAAAGTTGTTTACTACTACTACTACTTGAAGGCCGTCTAGTTTGTCTAGGCTGGAACTGCCATCAGCAGAAGCTTGCCGGGCTACTCATGTCTTTTATCATTATTATTATTATTATTCTTGGTAATGCAACAGCAAACGTCCTCAGCTACACATTTATTGCTGGTAGCTCGTGTTTCAAGGGTAGCACATGGGTAATTTCAGCTAAATTTTTCATTTCAGTTTCGTGAGATTGTGTAAATAAATATGCAATCCTTTTTCAGCATCACATCCACAGCAGAATATGTAAATTAAGGTAACATGCCGACATTTGTGATTCATCTATGGAATCAAGGAAGCTGTTGCACCTTGACAGATTCCTTCTTGCCACCACATATTCAAACGTCGGCCCTTTAGCGCTGTTCTCAGCTTTCATTGCAGCCGCCCGAGCACTTTCGTTGCACTTCAAGTATCACAGCCCAGCGTCGTATAATACAAAGATGCATGTGCTTGTCGGAAAAAGAGGAAAAAAAGAAATAAAATTTTGCAGCACGGCTCTGTTCTTACAACGCTGTCGTTACTCTTTGTCAAGGCAAGGTAAACAGAATATGTGAGTAGTAGTTACCCCCCCCCCCTTTTTTTTTTTTGCTGAATAGTATATTTTAGAGGTGCGCAAATTATGCGGCAATCAATGCAATGAAATAGCAAATAAAGGAATCCCTGTTAAATGAGATCTAACCCAATCCACATCCTAAATAGTTGAGCCAGTAAATACAGCAGCTCGGGTCGGTTTAATTCAATCCAGTCCACGTACTAAGCGGTGTGGGCTACAGCCATAATAGTAAAGTAGATTATACTCCAGTGGCAGATCCGGCCAGGCTCCCGTGTCCTCATTTTACACAAACGCTGCGAGATGGCACCACTTCTACGTTTCTTGGCAGCTTTGGCTGCGATTTCGGACTATCGCATGCTCCTTCAAACTTTCGTCTGTGGTTACTTTCAACTTGTGTCTTTGCTTCCTGGCTCTTTCGAACATCAAACTGCTGACTTGCTCACTGGCTGGCTCAGGGGTTTTATTTTGGCCACGTATACATGTTTTTTCACATTCACTACATGCGCTCGGAACATTTTGAGTGCGTCTGGGAAACATGTTTAGCCTGATATTTTTGACCACTCGAGCGAGGGTTTGTTTCTATTGTGCTGAGTTTTTCATGCCGATATGGCGGTCATAGAATTTGCTTTTAATCATCATGAAAAACCTGTAAAAGCAAGTGAATATAGAAATACCAAATTGGGGGGGGGGGGTGGAGTAGACACCTTGAGATGTTTACGCGAACGTCTCCCTGGGCGATGCCGTAGTCCTGTGCTAGACTCGATAGGGGTGACCCCCCCCAAACTGCACTGTCTGTACTGTGACCCTTTGTACTCTCATGTACTTGCACTGTGCAGCATGGTGCCATTTTTCTTTTCTCCCTTTTGAAAAGGTCTATAGGCATAGCCATTGCATAAGGGGGAATCTAAACCCCGTGAAATTTTAGTTTGCACATAGTGCGTGTCTGTGTGAGTGTTTGTGTGAACAAGTTTATTTTTAATCAATACCAACTTGATAAAATATCTATGACAGTGATGATCCTCCTGGCATTTTTGAACACACACCCTATGTCGAGGCGGGAATACTTTGCATTGGATGAAATGACACTGCCATGGCTAATTAAGAATTTGTTAATGAACCTCTAAATTTTGACTTGATGGCATTTTGTAGAAGAAAGCTGTAGTGCACGACTATGTATATCATACCCCTTTTTTAGAAATCACCAAAGTTTCACATAATTCACGATGTTCATCATCAAATTTTAAGGCCAATAGTGAGACTGATGTTGTCCAGTGCCCAGGAAACTTGGCCTCTTTGTTAGGTCAGACTGGAATTGTAGATGAGAAGGCAGTGATGAAATTTAAAAAAAGCTACATCAAAGCAGAATCTGGTCACGGAAACCGGGAAGAACTCAGGAATGGCACTAGTAGACAGCTTATTATTTATGATGTGTAATGCTTATTCGTTCCTTTCTCGAACTGTGAACAGGTGCAAGAAAATATACCACCTATCTTCTAGGACAAGCACTGCGCAGTCTGGTTCCGTGTTTTATGCTTCACGGAGAAAGAAAAGATTGACAATGCAGTTTTCTTGTGTAAAACTCAAGCGAAGCACATAATTTGTGCCAGACACTGTGTTCAAAAGTAAGGTAAAGCAGTCTGCTTGCAGAAGAGAAATAACTTGCCACTTTTCATGGATATATAATGCCATGACCAGCCCTCATTCAAATTAATTTTGTCTCATCATCGTCACAAGTAGCCTCAGCCTGGTGTAATGAAGTTCAGCTTAAATTGAGGACGACGCAACGAGCAATGGAAAGAAAAATGGTCGGTGTAACCTTAATAGACAAGAAGAGAGCAGAGTGGATTAGGGAACAAACGGGGGTCAAGGATATCATAGCTGAAATCAAGAAGAAGAAATGGGCAGGGCATGTAGCGCGTAGACAGGATAACCGCTGGTCATTAAGGGTAACTGACTGGATTCCCAGAGAAGGGAAGCGGGTTAGGGGGAGACAGAAGGTTAGGTGGGCAGATGAGATTAAGAAGTTTGCGGGTATAAATTGGCAGTAGCAAGCACAGGACTGGGTTAACTGGCGGAACATGGGAGAGGCCTTTGTCCTGCAGTGGACGTAGTCAGGCTGATGATGATGATGATGGTGGTGTAATGAAGTTAGTGTGTTTCGTGAGTGCTGGGCACAATCAGTTTCGATATCGTCCTTTTAAAATTTCATGATGAATATCTCAAATAGTGTGCAACCTTTGTGATTTTAAAAAGATGTATTATGGCATAAATTGTTATGCACTACAACTTTGTAAAAATAAAATAACATGCAAAACAGTGATATAATTATGAGAAACACTAAAGCTTTTTAATGTAAATGCTGGAAAAGTAATATTTAAAACATTAAAGATATTTATCATTTAGTTGCAACAGTGTGATTTAATTAGAGGCAAGGTTAACTTTGCTAGGATAATTTGGTCGCAGCTAGCGCAGGACTGTAATTATTGGAGAAATGTGCAAGAGACCTTTGTCCTGCAGTGGGTCTAGTCGGGTAGATATACCAGAGGTGGTATTCTGTAATTGTCTACTCAAGTAGTATCTTTTCTGAGCATGCTCTGATTGGCTAAATCTTGAGAAAGCTGGTTGGCAGCAACAGTGAACCCAGACTTTGAGCCCTATTCACTTAGTACACACAGAAATAGGCAGTCCAACTTATGGACATTTACATGAAACCATCCTGTTAATGTTTTATTTTGTCTAATGTCGGCTAACAGTTCACTTAATGTTGATTATTATTGCCTGTACTGGTAATAGTTTGTATGTCTGACAATTTATTTTGGGGAAATTCACTGCCATTTAATGTTAGTTGTGCTTCTAGTATACCTATGGCAAAAACCTTTTCTTACGTGCAGGAAGACCTTGGTTTCAAAATGTGCTTTCGTGACGCCCCACACCTCGGCCAATTTTGTGGTACTTCCTGTGAAAAGGAGTACCGAGTCGTTCTCTGGCAGTGCGATCAGTTCCAGGGATCCAATTGATTGCGTGCCGCCAAACTACACATTGGGAGTTCAGGACGTGGAGGAAAGAAGCGTCAACAGAGCACAGACGTCATCAGCGATTCCTGTCAATGAAAGGGCAAAAACATCGTCCTTACTTCCGTGCCTTCGGCACTAAGCCTCTCTTCAAAAATGTACTGTCACCTTTTTCAGGTGATCGGTGAGGTGAAATATTTTACCTGACCTGTCACCTGAATCTTTAATGTTAACCCATAAGGAAATGGTCCTCATTGGTCATCCAGCTGTCTTTTCATTTTTGAAGCAAGCATAAGGAAAAATTAAAGTGCGATTGTGCACAATGACCTGCTGTGTTGTGAAATTCTTGTGAGATTCTCCTGCACTTCTTTCAATTCTCACTTCATGTCGACGACATCTGTGGTGTACGAGACTCCAGCAGACCAGGTCAATTGACTTGCAGTGATAGACTTACAGTCCGAAGAACAGGTTTCTCCTAGACTTGATGAAAAAAATGCAGCTACACAATTCTGTCTAATATATTGCACTTACTCCAGAATGAACGCACTTTTTTTTTCTCGAAAAATTGGAGCAAAGTTGTGGGTGCGTTTATTATGCAAGGAAAATTTCATGAAGACTTTTTTGGTATAAGCAAAAAAATGCGGTAATACAAAAGGAAGTTAGGTCGCTCAGCTTCTTCGTACTGTTGCTCACTGCCGCTTCAAATCATCCGCTCAAACTAACATTGCAAGATGCGAGACTACTTCAAATTAAGTGGTATTTCAAGATGTTCGAGTTTGAATTCATGAGGTTTTACTGTATGTCTATTTGTTATGCGTTCAACACGTTGCTTTCTTCAGACACAGCCAGTTTATCTGTCTTGTGTTTCACTCAACATGCAGCTAGACCTTGTATCTTTTGTTGCATTTCTTTGCACTCCAGTAAAGTCTGTTTTGGACTGACAGTATAAAGACGTCAATGAATTTTGTCTTCGGGTAACTCTGCTAGTAGACATTATTGTGCTCTCCGGTAAGCCAGACTTGATGACAGCCAGAGATGACATACATGGAGTATAAGGCTTCCACCCGGTATATTGGTGGGCATGGGGTTGTCACTATGGCAACTGTTGAACTTATGACGATGTGGGTAACTAGGAAACCAGTGGTCTCTCTCTTGTCCAGCTTTCTGAGAAAAAAAATACAGTCATGAGAAGAGTAAGACAGAAATGGCTTAACGAAAATAGGTTCAATAAAGAAAGAGTCTTCAACCAAACCTTGTGGGAATGTTGGCCCACAAGTTTGCTTTTAGTGATGACACATTCTCCGCAGACTTGAGGTAGGTTCAACGATGGCGCATCCAAGCTTACGCTGATATGAGCAGTTCCTTGTAGGCTGTGTTTGGGTTGTAAGAGGAAACAACAGTCGTGGTTACTCTGGCAGAAGCGTGAATAGATTTGTGATACATGACTAAAAAAAATGTATATGGAAACACTGCATATAAGAAAGGTAGCTTGGACATAAATAACATTGCTGTTTTTGTGAATTCGTCTTGTGGGTGGTATTTTAATCAATTTGTCTTAGTGACGTTCTTCAGACGAGAAAGCTAGCCGATTGCCCAACTTGATAGACTATATGGTTCATGCATATGTAATATGCTTCATTGTGAACTTATAAAAAAAATGTACAAATACGTATATGTACTACAAGTTCACTTGACTCTACCATGCATTGAATTTATGAGCATATATTGCAGCAGACTCCTTTTGAGCAGAAACAAAACTTATGCTGTTATGATGGGTCTGTGTTACAAAGTTTATCAGCAAATATATTTTTAGCGAATGTGAGAACAATGTAAATAATGTCAAACATTTGCAAGCTGTGCATCTCATTGGCCGGACAAATCGAAAAGCCTGATGAAATGACCAAAAATGTTGCGCATGCAAAATATAATGGCCATGTTTGGACGCAAAGCAGCGCATTTTGCGATCACCAGTGAGCACGTCCACGTTGTGCATGGTTATTCCGTTTTTGTAGGCACTATTTTCACATGTAGGTGAAACGCCGCAGGTGACATGGTTCATAGGTTTTAGACACGTTGGCGTCGTCGTAGCGGCATGTAAAGTCTGACACATAAACTCGAATCGATATATGAAAGCGTATTTAAAACGGAGATTTGCAACATCGATCGATAAAAAGTACCGCGGTTCAATTTGAACAAATGAAACAACCGAAACGCTATCGATGCCAACAGGCTGCTGCTTTTAGAGCGTCAAAATAATTTAAATACTTTTCAATTCAAGCATTCATTGCTCTTGTATCAAAATACAAGTGATAAAAAAATTTTTCACTATTTTAACGACCCGACAATTGTGTTTATAACGATCTTTTGATACACCCTAAAACAAAAACTTTGTCGCGTTATGCGCCCCTAACGAGGAAAATGCAAACTAACTGTGAAGCGTTAAAAGAAGAGTGAGTAGCTCCACTATGCGATACTCTGCTACGCTAGTAGCGCTATTCTACAGTGTACTAGAATGTAGCTATTCTTTCGGTGCTGTCGGTGCACTAAGTATTACGGCTAGGTGGCGTTAACCGCCGTCCGATCTGTAGTACTGTATGTGTTCTGTGGTACAGCTACACCAATCCCTCCATTCATCCGTCCATTTAAGCCACGAGTTCGTCCGTGCTTGCTTTCGGCAACGACCTCGTGCTTCGGCTCGTTTATTTGCGCGATGGAGACTGCGCTAGGAAACGACGCTCCTTCACGCGCCGTGATATCCACCGAAGCGATTTCTCCTAACCCGGCCGTCGCTGGCGTTGCGAAGGTTAGCAGCGCCGAGCGTGCTCGCGAATGGCGACGTCGCGTCTTCAACACCGCCGAGGCGCGAGCCAGGGAAGCCGAACGGATGCGAGAGTGGAGACGGCGCGTGGGGAACACCGCCGAGAGGCGAGCCAGAGAAGCCGAACGCAAGCGTCAGTGGCGGAAGGCCAACAACACAGCCGAGGCGCGAGCCAAGCACGCCGAGCGCGCTCGGGAATGGAGACGGCGCAACGGCAAAACCGACGAGGCGCGAGCCAAAGAAGCCGAGCGGAAGCGCCGACAGCGGGAGGCCAACGCCGGCAAATCCTCCGCGTCGTCGTCGTCGCCGACGTCTCGAAAGTGCCGAGCTCCGCCTGCCGATCCGGAGTCGTATCGTCGCCGTAACGCCGAGCGCGTCCGCGCCTGGCGCGCGGCTAAAGCCGTCCGCGACGCCGCCAACAACGCTGGGGCCGACGCCAGACAAAGTCCCTTCCAGACAGCGCTGTTCCAGTTCCTTCAGCAGGTTGAGAGCGAGGCAAAGCGCGAGGATCGCGACGCACTCGGAGCAGGAGCGTCTTCCGAATCGTCCTTCCAGGTCGACGTTCCGCCCGTCACGCCACCCGTACGCAACGCTGCTGGTTCGAATCCCATCAGGGCTCCCCCTGGGGAGATGGTGTGAATTTTTCTTTTATTTGAAGAATTAGATACAAACAGATATATCACGCAGATGCATGAGTGATCTCGGAACCCCTTGCCCAGTTTTATCGACCCCAATTTTACTGGTACCATTGCTCAATGAAATCTGTTGCAGCATTGCATCACGTGATTGACCGAATAGAAATGGGCTTTGTTACCTCAACCTAAGCTTTAGACGTTCAACAGAGGAAGCGGGGAAGTCTGGAGAAAAAAAAAGCAATGCTACTATATTCAAGTCAATAGTTATCTAACCAGGTAGCAAACGAGCTTTTTGTCTCTCGGATCTCAATGTAGTTGCTCGTCAAATCTGCCCAGCAAGCTAGGAAGACCTTTGAGGGGCCGGCCTGTTAATGTGTCTTCGCACACTGTAGGCAACTGTCACTGTGTGTAGGTCGCACCGTAACCTGTGTGTATCACTCTGCAGGCTCAATCCCGGCAGTGTATCCGTCGTCCTCAAAGGCGCACGATTGCTGTGCAGGCGTTTTCAAGGAATGTGGGATGGAATGTTGGTATGTGTGACATTTTTTTCCGCAGTTGGGTTGCTTGCTTGTTTGAAGTTTAAAGGAATGGTTCAGCCTCCGTTTGCCCAGTTTGTTTTCCTGGATAATTTAAGAGCAGTGCAAGTTTTAGTTCTGATAGATAGTCATCAAAAAAATTGTGCCACGGAAATTGCACTTGTTCTGACCCAGCACCTTTCTTGCCACCATCTCCTTCAAGTTTTGGTACAGGCGATGTTAACAGTATTGGCCGACATCACTGGCATACCATCACTGTCAGGTGAAATCGATGAGACAGTGCTGTGAGGTGTTGGAAAGCACTGTAATAGCTCAGCGTGCTTGACAGTTGTGCAAATCAGCCCTTTTAAGTATGTGTGAAGCTAAAAAAAAATTGATGTGTGTATGATTATGATATGCTTCGCATTTCTTGGCAAACTGCGGCAGCTTTGAGCGTATTTATCCATCTAGCTGCTTGCGTTAGGGTGCTCTCATGGTAACCCCCTCAACTCAGCGTGAACCAAAGTTAGCATGGGATATTTAAATGGTTTGACGAATATGACGCGCTGGTCAAGACATGAGTAATGTCACAATCCCATCGCGTACGTCGTCAAACACTTCCCCCGCCATACAGTGGCTCATACCCACTGGGGGGGGAGGGGGGGGGGTTATGTGCCGCTGGTTTACAGGTATGTGCCACAGGTGATTGACACCCAGGAATGACAAGAACCCACACCGGCATCTTTAATGCGTGAGCGTTAGGCATTTCCCGGCATTGGTAGCGTCAGCCAAACGAAGGCATAGAATAAATGTCAGTGTTAAGAAAAACCTGACATAGGCAACGTTGTTTCGCCCGACGAATGCAAATAATAAATTTCGGGGTCCCAGCAGGAATCGAACCCAAGCTACGCCAGGTCTCGGAACTACTTTTCAAATAGAAGCTAATTTTCGTGAAACGTCAATAGTGGTTGCAGGTCTGCCTACCCAATTTTATAACACATTACATATCTACTCCTTTGATACAGCTGTCACGTCGGATTAAGGTCAATTGCAGTTAGGTGCCATACGCTGAAGTTGATTTATGTAGCAGTGTCCAGGGGGCCAGCATCTTCGCGAGCATCAGCACTTTATATCAGCTTCTGGTGTTGCTAATATGCGTGTTCCAGTCGCCATCATTGCGCAAATGCAAACAACGGGTCATATAAACATGTGCAACTGTTCAACATATGTCTGTGTGCAACATTTGTACATATTGTTATGAGACAGTGTCCCACTAAAGCGGTTAGATAGGTGCCGAGGAAGACCACGTGATTTTGGTGTAGGGTACAGCTCTTGTTCTCCGTCTTGGCTTGCGCGTTGGCACTGTGTGAATATATCTTCAAACGCCTAGTTTCCCCTGTGCCTTCGCGTATCATTTTGGCGGAAGGTGCTGGGTTACAACGCACAACGGAGTTACGCAGCGGACGCCTAGTCGCTGCTTCCATGTCCACCGGCAACGACGCTTTGTCAACTGCCCTGCCCAATGCATCAACGGTGCCGACCTCCCCTGTTTTTCTCACGGCCGCTCCACCCTGCGATCCCGGCAACTTCTCAAGAACAGACGGTGAGGACGTGGATGAGTGGCTTAAACTCTACAAGCTCGTCAGCGAAACTCACAGGTGGGACCCAACCTTGATGCTGGCAAACATCATCTTTTATTTGCAACGAACGGCCAAAGCATGGTTTAATAACAATGTGGACGCGATCACGAGCTGGAACAAATGCAAGACCAAGTTACGCGAGTTGTTTGGTCAATCTGCCGGCTGCAAGCAGGCCGCTAGGAAAGAACTTGGCACACGTGTTCAGACATCTACGGAGTCTTACCTGGCGTATATACAAGATGTGCTGACCCTCTGCCGTAAAGTTGACCGAACCATGGCTGAAGCCCACAAGGTAGTGCATGTGCTCAAGGGCATCGCAGACTATGCATTTAACCTCCTTGTGTGCAAAGGCTGTTCCACTGTGCAAGATGCTATCTTGGAGTGCCAACGCTTTCAACAGGCTAAAAGTCGTCGCATTGCCCATCACTTTACACGTCTTCCCAACACTGCTGCAACGTAAACTTGCGAGGATCTCCGTATAGCGACTCAGCCCAATTCACACTCCGGTGACATCACGAGAATCGTACGCTGCGAAATCGAGGCCATATCACCCGCACCCTTGAGAGCAGTAGCACCGAGTGATCCTAGGCCGATTATATTGCTAATGCAGACCGCTGTTCGCCAAGAACTAGCCAATGCGGGTATTCACACGGTCTGTTCTGTGAACCGTCCCGACGCTGTCAGTTCATCTACCTCCAGCCATCCACAGCATTATCGCCGCCCTGCTCCACGTAACCGCGACCCAAATGCGTGGAGGATGCCTGATGACAGGCCGATTTGCTTTCGATGTGAACGAGTGGGACACATTTACCGTCATTGCCGAAGCACGTTGACCTCACCGTGTCGGGCAAACTCAAGCTTCCCCAACCTTCACTCACCAGCACATCTCTATGGCCAGGAACTACCATGGCGTTATGGCTCAGCTAATTACGACCCGACCACTTCGACCACTGCCCAGTACAGTCGCTCACCTTCACCTCGACGTAGATTTTCCAGGTCTCCGCCGCCACCTCGTTCCCTGTCCCCATCCTCTGCCCAACAGTTTTCTTCGGAAAACTAACGACTGCTGCTCCTGGAGGTGACGCTTCTGAAACAACTTGCTCTCCAATTCCTCTGTTGACGCTCCCGACCAACCAGAACCTGATCGAAGTTGAAGTGGATGGTTTATCTGTTAAAGCCTGGGTAGACACTGGCGCCCATATTTCTGTGATGAGTCTGCACGATCGTGACTGCTTGAAGAAAGTCCTTACTCCAGCCCCTTCACGCAGTGTTCGTGTTGCTGATGGAGGTACGGCTTTTGTTATTGGCGTCTGTGCTGCACACGTTACTATCACCGGCCGTCAAACTTCAGTTCTCTTCACTGTTTTCTCACTGCACCAATGATGTGATCCTCGGTCTTGGCTTTTTGTCCACTCATTCTGCCCTCATCGACTGTTCAGCTGGTACTGTGCAACTTGACCTACCGTGTCCGATTGATCCGCCCAGTCCACCCCAAGCTCGTATGTTCTCTGCTAAACATGTCCATTTTTCACCGCAAACTGTGACCTGCATCACCGTAATGCCCTCACCACCTGTATCCGATGGCGACTATGTGCTCGCGCCCATCACATCTATTCTTTTGACTCACAGTGTTAGCTTACCACGCACTGTTATTCAGTCACGTGCAAGCCGCGCCTGCATTCCTGTGTCCACAAGTGCTCCCGCGTGGAATTACCCTCGTCATTCTGACTCCCTCTGACGAATGCATCGTCTCAGCTCTGTCTTTGAACGATGCTGGACACTGCAGCTACACGCATGCTCAATCTTCGCAAGCAAGCCCGTCTGCTGACATTTAAAAAAAAATCATCGCGTCAGACCTTTTGCCGCATCAAGTAATGCGCTTCTTCACGTCCTTGAGTCATACTGGGACATATTTGACTTTTGTGATCGTCCACTAGGTCAAACCACTGCTGTAAATCACCGCATTGACACCGCCGATGCCTCCCCTGTCCGTCGACGGCCATACCGCGTATCTCTAACCGAGCGTCACATAATTCAAGCAGAAGTCGACAAAATGCTCGCCAAAGACATAATTGAGCCATCATGTAGTCCATGGGCTTCCCCTGTAGTTCATGTCGAAAAGAAGGACAACACTTGGCGATTCTGTGTTGGTTACCGACATCTGAACAAGATCACTAAAATAGACGTCTACCCACTACCGCGCATAGACAACGCCCTAGATTGTCTTCACGGCGCTAAGTATTTTTTTTTCTATTGATCTACGATCAGGGTACTGGCAAATTACTGTCGACGACATGGACCGCGAACCGATCGCTTTTGTCACATCTGATGGTCTTTACCAGTTTAAGGTCATGCCCTTCGGGTTATGCAATGCTCCGGCCACCTTCGAGCAGATGATGGACTCTCTTTTGCATGGGTTCAAATGGTCAATTTATTTATGTTACCTTGGCGACGTTATCGTCTTTTCTCTGACATTTGAGGCCCACCTCGACCGCCTATCCTCAATACTGGCTGTTTTTCATTTCGTAATGCCGGCCTCCAACTGAACTCGTCAAAGTGCCACTTCGGACGCCAGCAACTAACTTTGTTGGGCCACCTTGTCGACTCCTCTGGTGTATGCCCTGATCCCGATAAAGTGCGAACCGTGCGGAACTTCCCCGTTCCGACCTGCACTAAGGAAGTCCGCAGCTTTTTCGGTCTGTGCTCGTACTTTTGACGTTTTGTGAACAACTTTGCGGAAGTAGCCCGTCCTCTCCCAAAACTTACTGAGAAAAGATGTCTCCTTCACATAGGGTGCTGCGCAAGCTACGGAATTCTCTCCACTTATTAAATTGCTAAGAGAACCACCTGTTCTGGCTCATTTTGACAATGCCGTCCCTACAGAAGTCCACACCAATGCCAGTGGCCACGGAATTGGTGCTGGTTTCGTCCAGCATCAAAGCGGCTGTGCCCACGTTATCGCCTTTGCCAGTCGTCTCCTCTGGCAGGCGGAAAATAACTACTTAATCACCGAAAGAGAGTGCCTTGCTCTCGTTTGGGCAGTAGCGAAATTTCGGCCCTATTGACATGGTCGACATTTCACCGTCACAACCGATCACCACGCACTTTGCTGGCTCGCACCCTTGAAGGGCCCCACTGGGCATCCAGTGGACCCACCTGAGGCATTCGATGAAGCACCACGTGTGCTGTCTGTCCATCCGTGAGGAACAGCGCCGAGATCCTGTCTTACGTAACATCGAGAATCTTCATTCTGCGGCACCCGATCCATTTACTCGATTGTTCGTACGCAAGGATGGCACATTGTACCGTTACAACGTCCGCCCTGATGGACATGAACTGCTCCTTGTGGTACCTTCCCACTTACATGTGAGCGTGATCGGCCAGCTCCACGACACTCCCACTGCCGGTCACCTCGGACTGTCTCAGATGTATGACCATGTACAGCGTCTATTTTACTGGCCTAGTCTTTATCGCTTGGTTCGCAGCTACGTCGCCTCATGCGACCAATGCCAACGCCGAAAAAAACCTTCCGAGTCCTGCCAGGTTCCTCCAACCACTTGACATTCCCTTGATACCTTTTTCGACTTGGTCTTGACCTCCTAGGCCCTTTCCCTGCGTCCACTTCTGGGAATAAGTGGATAGCGGTTGCGACGGATCACACAACCAGGTACGCCATTGCACGGGCTCTGCCAACCAGTTGTACCATGGACGTTGCCGATTTTCTCCTGCAAGACGTCATACTTCATCATGGCGCCCCACGCCAACTTCTCGCAGATCGTGGGCGCTATTTTCTATCCCGAGTTATCGACGACCTGCTGCGCTCCTGCGAGACAAAACATAAATTTACGACACCCTACCACCTGCAAACTAACGGACTGACTGAACGATTCAACCGGACTTTAACTGATATGCTCGCGATGTAGGTATCGTCCGACCACCAGGACTGGGACGTTGCATTGCCCTTCGTTACGTTCGCTTATCATTCTTCATGCCACGATGCAGCTGGTTTTTCACCTTTTTATCTCGTGTTTGGCCATGATCCAACTTTATAGTTTCACACCATGTTTCTGACAGCCAACGGCCGATTACGCCTGCGATGCTATCACCAGGGCTCGCACGAGAAGTTGCCCGTCAGCGCCTTTTAGCATCGCAAGATCAGCAGCGGCAGCGTTACCACTCCCACCATCGCCAAGTTTCCTTTACTCCGGGCTCTCTTGTGCTATTGCGGACTCCGGCTAGGCGCAAAGGACTTTCTGAAAAACTGCTTTGCCGCTACTCGGGACCCTACCGCGTATTGCCCTTGGTGACAGATATGACCTATGAGATAGCCCCGCTCGAGTCTTCCTCTTCCCCTTCACTGTCTACAGACATTGTTCATGTATCTCGCCTTAAGCTTTACCACTCGGCAACAGTATAGAAAGCACCGAGACGGTGCTTGAGCACCCGGGGGTTATGTTATGAGACAGTGTCCCACTAAAGCGGTTAGACAGGCGCCAAGGAAGACGTGATTTTTGGTGTAGGGCACAGCTCTTGTTCTCCATCTTGGCTTGCGCATTGGCGCTGTGTAAATATATCTTCAAACGCCTAGTTCCCCATGTGCCTTCACGTAACAATATACTTAGCTCACTTTATGACGTGTCGCTCAATAAAAAAAGTTACAACACTGTCACCTTCCCTCCGAATGCTTCTCATAACGTCGATTCCCAGGTACGTGGGATCTGCCGATTTTTTTTTTGTAGTTGACTTTGGAGCTGAAACGTAGATGACAGCTGGGAAACTTGAGAAAATATTGCTCTGGTCATACATGTGGCACAAGAATAATGCTGTGGTTGTAGTGCACAAAGCCCTGGCATTTGTTATTCCTTTTGTCAAAGCTTTGTTGGGGTGCTTGATGCTTTTTAAGTATACTACAATACTGGCTTACCAATTTTACAGCTGCATCGTAAAATTAATGCCTCTATTCTTATTGCTGTTGTTGGGTCAAAGTACTTCAGAGGGCTAATTGCATGGCGATGTGACAGGTGTACAGACTCGCACCTTCAGTGTCTCGGTGGGAAGTCAAACCAAGGACTGGTGCCCAGCCACGCACACAACCCAGAAAGCTCTTTCATTGGTATGTGCTCATATTTCCATCAAACTGATCCTTTGACATCTGTGCTAGCCGCGGTGAAAATAGTGGGACCACTTACCATTACGTCATATGTGCACTATCTTCGCAGGATGAAAGGCGCGACTGCAGTACCCATGAACCGTGAACACGATATTTACGCGTACTCTCAAAGTTGAGAGCATCGCCACCTTTGGATGATGTGATTACCGGCTGTAAGTGATGCCAATGTAAGTGTCATTCTGGCTCTTGTGACACTTTTAATTGCATGCAAATTAACACTACCTGGTTCTTTTTCTAACGAACTCGGAATGGGACCACTCAGGTAAGTCAATTCTAAAGACAAGCTTTAGTCTGAGTGATGTCAAGATTTTCAAAGTGTTGCTTTTCCTCGAAATAGATTATTGGTGAAAAAAAAAAAGACAATAACCCAAGACTCTTTTTATTGTGTGCTTTGCTGCATCGCACATTTGGCCAACTCACGGCGGAACCTCTCGTGCTTAAATTGGTGAGCAGGTCCTATCTGCATGTACTGGGGCTTGTATATTAACACGATAGCGTTAAACGGCTCGTTTCGCAGAAATGTCGGTGGCAGCGTCATTGGTTATGAGCGTAAAATTATCATCTGGTGTGTCACCAAAAAATTACGGAAGATGCGAATAAAATAAATGATAAAAGATTTGTGGGCCAAGTAGGGATCGAACGCGAGTAGTTTGCGTGGCAACGGCTGGTTCTACCGCACAGCCACGTGCCTCCTTGCGAGTACAGTGAAAATAACTTTCTTAGCTCGGAAATGCAGTGAAAGTAACTTCCATGCTTTTCAAACGCACGTGTTCTGTGTAGCTTCACAATACAACATGAAATATTGCAGTAATAATGCGTGGGTACAAGCGTACGATGCCATGAGGCATCTGAGCATGCAGTTATGATTTCGTGGTATAAAGCCCGTCACCCACTACAATAGGCACACATGGTGCATAGCAAGTTCGAAATGATTTCATGCACGAAGTGGTTAAAGTAAGCACTAGGGACAGGATATCGCTATCCCATTCAACTCTTAAAGGCAAAGCTTAAGAGTCACTCTATTTTTTTTTTATGCCTGTTGATATGAAAAGAGCTGGTCTAGACAGATTTTTCGTGTCATAGTGCAAACAAACTGCGCTTGACCACATTGGAATTAGTTGGTTTAACTGCATAGCAAGGAAGCTAACTTTGAATATATGAAAATGGTCTGTCTGCTCTACTGCTGTTCAAAATGGGGGTCGCATTTAAATGATGCTATATTTTATTCCCCATCCGTGTTTAGTTTGTCCACTATGACCACACATTTAAAGCTTTATTTGGATCCACATTTCTTAGGTGTTGCCTATACTTGCTCGAGGAATACAAACCATTACCATGCATACAAGCATAGCCAGGGCAGAAAGGGGAATTAAACCTCCTTAAAATTTTAGTTTATACATGGGTGCATGTCTGTGTGAGTGTGTGAACACATGGTGCTTTTTTTTTTTTTTTTTCAGACGATACAGATCTTTTATAAGATATATGACAGTGAGCTGTCAAGTTTTCGTGCACATACTCTATGTCAGGGCGAAAATATTTGCCTCAGATTAAATGACATGGTTGTGGCTAATTAACAGAAAAGTCTTCAATAAACTTTTATCACTTTATGGCAGTCGTTTTTATTAGAAAGCTGTAGTGCGCGACTACTTATGTCATACCCATTTTTAGAAATCGGGAAAGTTGCACATAATTTGAGATATTCATTATCGGCTTTTAAGGCTGATGTTGAAACTGATGGCGCCCAGTGTGCAGGAAATCAGGCCCCTCTGTTAGATCAGACCAGAACCACACGTGACAAGGCAGTGATGAAATTTGGATCAAGGCATACCTAAGCAGGATCTGGTCGGGGAAATGGGGAAGCATTCTGAAATACAATAGTAGACAGCTTATTAGTAATTAAGTGTGATGTCTAATGCTGAACTGTTCCTTTCTCAAACTATAAAGAGGCGCGAGAAATTATCTCGCCTGTCTGCGAGAAGAAGCACCGCAACGCTAGTCTTGCATTTTATACTTCGCAGAGAAAGAAAAGGCTGATAATAGGTTTCTTGTGCACAGCTCTAAAGAATCAGGTGCGTGCCAAACACCGCACGCAAAGATAAGGCAATCTGCTGGCGAAAGAGCGATGACGTGCCACTTTTCAGAAATATGTGGTCAAGACGAGCCGTAATGTATATGTTGTCACCTCATTGTCACGAATAGCTTCAGCCTGACATGATAGAGTTGGTATGAAGCACGAATCAGTTTCTATATCGCCCTTTTAACGTTTGGTGATGAATATCTCAAATTATGTGTGAGCTTTGTGTGTGAATTATCCAATGGCAATCTTGACAAGGGCGGACATACTGACATGATTTTTCTTGATTTAAAAAAAAAGCCCTCAACCGTGTGTCACACAGACACCTAATGTTAAAGATCCGATGCCTTTTTGATAATCCTCAGATAGTACTGCGGCTCGACGCGTACCTTACGCGGGCGGCATAGGCAGTTTGTTCACATAGGCAACGCGAACTCTGATTTTGCATCTGATCTTTCAGGCGTTCCCCAGTGTCTGGTGCTCGGCCCATTACTCCTTTTAATTTTTATGAATTACTTACTGATTAACTCAACAATGTGTTACCGTTTATTTGCCGACGACTGCGTTGAATACATGGGCACTCAGTCACAGACAGATCAAAAAATACTAAACAACTTCTTAGTAGCTGTTTGCAGCTGGTACTCAACATAGAAGATGCGCCTAAATATTTCTAAGTGTACAGAAATGAGTTACACACAAGAAGGAACCGCGAGTCCACACCAATAGCATTAGTAATGTTCGACTAGTTTCAGTTGACCAATTTAGATACCTGGGATTGCACATCACTTCTGGGCTAAGCTGGAGTAGTCATAGTTTGCAAAGCTTTGAAAAAACTTAAATGATAAGAAACTGCATGATGCGTTACACTTCTATAATTAAGCTTTTGGCGTACACGATATTAGAACATGTTGACGTACTTTCGGATCCGTACACCAAATGCGATATCGACTGCATTGAAAAAAAAAAAGCGCTAATATTCATCTTCAGCGCTTATGGCAGGCCTTTGTCCATTACTAACCTCAGACATTTGAGTAGACTTCCAATTCCAACTCTAGAATTGTGCAGAAAACTGCACCGACTGCAAATGCTTTACAATATTGTAAACCGTAACGTTAGAATGGACTTTACTCTTTACATGCAGTATAACAGCGCAAGGCAAATGAGGTGGAAGCACAGTAAGGCGATTGTAAGGCCACAAGGTAAAACGAGCACATATCGACTTTCGTTCTTTTCTCGAACGATAGCAGAATGGAGCGAGCTTCTACTTGACACAGTCAGCCTGTCATCACTTCATGCCTTCGCAAATGCAGTACAAGATTATGTATTATCGATGTTTTGCGCAGCTCTTTTCATCCTTTCTCTTTTTACAGTTACTAGCAATGTATGCAGAGTTGCTTTCGCGGTATGCATGCGTGGGCGGAAAGTGCCCTTTAGTTCACAGTATTTGATTTTTTTTTTCGTTAATATTATCAGTCAAGCTGTGCACTCCTGCTCAATATTTTGTCTACGCTTTTCGGGTGTTCAGTCTCTCGCTCCTGCACATTTTTACTGTTCCCATGTCCTACCTCAGCGTCATTTCACATTCGGTCGGAACTGTTCTTATCGTCGGTCATGTGTGCTTTTGTTGTGATGCGCATTTTTTTAACCCATCTTTCGACTGAAACGATAGGGTGTGTAATATTGTAATGTGATGTACCCACTCCTGCCATGGCTCCCAAAAGGCAGCCGGCAGTATCTGATAAATAAATTAACACAAAAACTTGTCAAGTCATGATAATACATGGGGTTTAACATGCAAAACGATGATGTCTTTATGAGGGACACTGAAAACTTTGTAATATAAGTGCCTGAAAGTTAATATCTGAGAGGGTAATCAATTTTTATTAATCATGCAGTCGCAACAGCGTGATTTCATTTGAGGCTTTTTTCGCGTTGACGCAGAGTTTGTGCGAGAAAGCAAAAGGAACCTATTTGACTTACAGCAACCAAAGACAGCCTTTTTATAATCATTAAGAGTATGTATGAGAGGTAAAAGCTATCCAGGTGTCTATCAAAGAGAGAAGTAGAATATTAAACTTTATAGTGCTTGAACATCCTAGACGGCATCAAAGCCACAAAAGCTGATAAGTGTCATGTATAAAGGTTCAGCTTTTTATAACACTATATTGTAAGTGTTTGAACCAATACATGAACTAAGGTGGTGGACGAGCAAGTGGCCTGTGTGCGTTCAAGTGTGGTACCTGCTACCCATTACAAGTGACCTGTGTGTGTTCAAATGTGGTACCTGCTAACCATTACAGGCTGGCAGTGTGAAAACATTTTTTTATGCAAAGCTCTGTGTGCTCACTAAACTGAGGCTTTTGAAAAAATATGTTGGGCTAATCTGAAATAATACTATCTGGACTAACTTTGCAGTCTAAAAATTCTAGTGCAGTAAAAGCAATCATATAAAATATGTAAGCAAGGTTAAATGTGTAATAAAAATTAAGTATGAAAAAAAAAGCTCCTTTAGAAAGCCATTATAGATGTTACATGAGGAGGAAGATGAAGAAATGGGTTGGGAGTGTAATGAAAGGCAAGGCATTGATGGCCATCAAGGGTAACAAGACTGGATTTCAAGAGGTGGCATGCGTGGTTGGGGTCTGCGGATTGGGGGGCATAGAGACAGCTAGCACAGGACCGGAATAATCGGAGATGTGTGCAAGATACCTTTGTCTTACATTGGCCATAGTCAGGCTGATGATAATGAGGCTCCTGGGCATGTACCAGGTGGTTTTTTTTAATTTTCTGATGAATTGGTATCTCTTTAGATCATGCTTTGATTGGCTAAATCTTGAGAAAGCTGGCTGGCAGCAACAGTGAAACCAGACTAACTCTATCCACTCAGTACACACTGAAATAGACAGTCCAATTTATGGACATTTACATGAAACCATCCTGGTAATGTTTTATATTGCCTAATGTAGGCTAACAGTTGTCTTAACGTTGATTATTATTGCCTATGCATCTAATAGTTTGTATGTTGAGCAGTGTCCTTTAGGAAAATTCACTTCCATTTCATGTGAGTTGCTCTTCCAGTGCACTCATCGCACGGACCTTTTCTTACATGCAGGAAGACATTGGTTTCAAGATATGCTTTCGTGATGCCACAAGCGTTGGCCTATTTTGCGGTACTTCCTGTGGAAAGGAGTACCGAGTCATCCTCTGGCAGTGCGATCAGTTCCAGGGATCCAATTGGTGGCATGCCGCCAAACTACATATTGTAATTCAGGACGAGGAGGAAAGAAGTGCCGACAGAGCACAGATGCCATCAGCAATTCCCGTCACAGAAGAGGCAAAATGATCAGCCGTCTTTCTGTGTCTTTGGAACCAAGCCTCGGTTTAATGATGTACTTTCACCTTATTCAGGTCATCGTGCAGGTGAAATACTTTATCTGACCAGTCACCTGAATCATTCATGTTAAAAAAATGGTCACCTTCCTTGGCCATCCAGCTGTCTCCTTTTTATCATTAAAACTGGAGTAAGCAAAGGTTAATGTGCAAATGTGGGCAATAGCCATTCGTGTTGTGTACTGTGAGAGGTGTCCAACACATAAGACTGCATACCGTCATCACTTCTTTCAATTCTCACTTCTCGTCGATACCATCTGTGGCGTGCTGCACTCCAGCTCACCAGGCCACCTGACTTGCAGTGATGGATTTATGGTCCGAACCACAGGTCCCTCCTAGACATCATGGAGGAAACGCAGCTACACAGTTTTCTGTAATATGTATTGGGGCCGATGGGCATACTTACGAGAAAAAAAATATTCTCACTTGAAGAGAGTCTATGAAAGTTTTACTGAATGGAGAAGCAAGAAGCACTTTCAGCTGCTCGTAGAGGGAATAGCACATTCGACCTCTCAGTCCTAAAAACATGGTTGCTTGGGAAGGCCACTTTCTTCTTGTTATGCAATTTTTTGCCCACTAAACCACGTGTACTCCCGGACTTTGCGTCATGCGCTCAACGTTACATAAGAACCTGTTGCTCAGCCGTCATCCCATTGTGAACAAGGGACCCGTACGGATCCCGAAACGTCTTTGTTTTTATTTGACATTGGTCAGTGACCTGTTTTTTCAACAATGCCTTTACCTGACCAGACGGCATTCCGTCGAACTCTTGACTACTGCAATTTTTTGCCTTGTCTTTTGTTTGCCAATTTCCGCTTCTCATTCATGTAACATATGTGTATTTGGTGTGTGTTCACCACGTTGCTTTCTTTAGATACAGCCAGTTTATCTGCCTTGTGTTTCATTAACATATAGCAAAACCTTGTATATTTAGTTGCATTTCTTTGCACTCTTGTAAAACCTCTTTTGGACTAACAGTATGAAGAAGCCGACAAATTTTGTTTTGAGGTAACTCTGCTTTTAGACCTTTTCTGCTTTTTAGTAAGCCAGCCATGGTGACAGCCAGAGATGACATACATGTGCCAATAAAGATCTTACAAAACACGAATTTAACTTCATTCATCCTTTCTTTGGTGAATAGTTAAAGCACTGCTCCACTTACATTGTCAGCAGGACAAGCGTGTCATCATTGAAAGATGAAGAGAAGCCTCGTATATTCAATTGTAAGTACTAGTTGTCACATTAAATCTGTCCTGCAGCATTTACAAAACAGTTTGTCAGCATTAAAAAATGTTCTTGTGATGACAAGGGCAAGAAATTCTCCGTGTTGTTGTTGGGGCCAACGCTGGCGCAAAGAGTGACTACTGGTGAAGCTCGTGGGCAAACATTGTGTGGTTGTCAGTAGTGATGCCTCCGGCCCTGCAATGTGCAGTTACCAGGTGCAAGGCACAACATCAGATGCTTGACACAGTTGCTTTTGCAACTAAGTTCGTGAGCTCTGCCTAAGTAATTTTGCCATGTTTTTTTTTTCTTTTTTCAGAATTGCCAATAAACCATTAGAAGTCTTTCTGATTGTGCATTTCTCTGTGCTTTCACATATTTTTTTTTATTTGTTCTGTGTGCTGGGAAGTTAATACTTAGAGTGCTATGTAATAGAACCTATATCACTATATTACGCGTGTCGCTCTGTATTCAATAGTACAATGCTAGAGCGTTAGCACCATAAGCAGTGAAGTATGTGTCCACTAGTAATCTAGATCAGTTCTAGATGCTTATAGAAGGAGACTGACTTAACCCACAATCTTATGCCGCCATCTATGGTTGCAGATGGTGGTGCATGACTAACTCCCATTGCTGCAGGCAGTGATTTTCTGAGGGTTTTACTACGGAAGGCAGAGGTTGCCTTATCCACAAACAACGGCTACTTGCCTTTCTGTAGCGCGAACTACTGATATGAAAAAGCTTCGTCGCATCGTTAATAGCGCAATCCTTGTGACGGTGTGGCTTTGCTACATCGGACAACAAACTTGCACTGGACCGTTCCGTTTTAGATGCGGAGCATCTCTTGCTCGGGTCTATGTCCCGCGGCGGCGTCCTCAGCACTCGCACTACATGCGCGTCCGCTCTCGCCCTCGCAACGCCGACGCGGGCAGCGTCTGCTAGCGAGCTTCTTGATTTAAAAAACTGCTCGCGCTTTGCAACCGTTCACTGGTCACCCCTTGAGCTCCAAGGTAGTGCCGGTGGGAGATTTCTTTTGTGCGTTGTTGACCAACAATAAAAATTCGCAGCGTGCGCTAAAAGCGGACACAGGGTCTCCGTGTTCAATCAGAATCTCGCTGCCCATTAGCAGCAAGTGGCGTGCTCCAGTAGGAAACACCGGTCCATCCACGGAGGGTCCATCACTGCGCGCTTTGCGCCTCTCCAGGTTTCTCTCCTGCGCAACGTAGAGTTACTGTATATGCTACCTAAAGGTAGCATATACAGTAACTCTAGCGCAACGCTGTGATGAGCGCCCGCGTCAACGCATCTACACATCGTTTCCTTTAGCGGGAGATGGCGTAATCTTTTTGTGGGACTTCCACAAAGCTACACCTGATAGTGAGAAATACTTTCAGTTATTTAGAGTTGAGGTGCATGAAGTGTACAGCAAAACCTAGTCGCTTGTTTCACGCGCCTCTTCCGAGAAAAAAAAAAGTAAATGAATAAATAACAACGTCGCGTTCGACATTGTGTTGTGAAAGGAAAATTAACTTTACACGTTTGAACTATCTGTAAATTTATTTAACAAGAAGTGTGAGTTGCTGTTTTTATTTTTTAGTTTTTTTTATGTTACTGCACTTACGAATCTGCGGCGCTTGCGTGGAAACACTGACTGATAGCATCCGCTAGGTGTTCTCTGGCTTTCGTGTGCCGAGTGTTGGTGTATTTCGGCGGCGCTGGCGCATTAGAAACGTTTTCGCCGGCCAGACCGTTCGGCGACGTTCGCAAGAGAGGAAAGTGCCGCGAACAATGACGGCCGACCTGAGTTCCTACCGGGACCAGCACTTCAAGGGGAGCCGAGCGGAGCAGGAGCGGCTGCTCCGGCTGAGCTCGACGCTCTACATCGGCAACATGTCCTTCTACACGTCGGAGGAACAGATCTACGAGCTGTTCTCCAAGTGCGGCGACGTCAAGAAGGTGATCATGGGGCTGGACCGCTTCCACAAGACGCCGTGCGGCTTCTGCTTCGTCGAGTACTACACGCGCGCCGACGCCGAGAACGCCATGCGTTACGTCAACGGCACCAAGCTGGACGACCGCATCATTCGTACAGACTGGGACGCCGGATTCGTCGAGGGACGCCAGTTCGGGCGCGGCAAGAGCGGAGGCCAAGTTCGGGACGAGTACCGCACGGACTACGACAGCGGCCGAGGTGGCTATGGCAAGTTGATGGCCCAACGCGTTGTGCCGCCAGCAGCAGTGTCGCCTCTCTAGCCGCCGAGGAAGCTGTGTGTGAAAACAGATGGACAGTGGGGCGTTTGCACTCGGGAGTGCGAAGCATGTTCAACTGATGTGTTAGCAAGGTCGCCGCCTGATGAGCTCGTCATCTTTTTGTGGGGTGTCTTTCTTCTCGACTGTGTTTTTTTTTCCTCACCCAAAGCGCGCATTCACACTTGGTGTGTTTGCCCCCCTACCGTCTAATTAGGCCAAAAAGTGCTTCGTTCAACGACGCTCCGTGTTTTGTCTATCTGTCATGCATGCTTTGAGTGTGTGTGAGGGTCTTCTCAGCGTTGCATGAATTTTGTCGCATGAGTAATTACTGCTGAGATGCTTTCCAAAAATGTGTCATTTGCTACGAATGACCTTCCTCATACTTTAAAAAAGGAAGACAGAAGAAATATCGCTGAACTAGTGTTCATTATTACGATTGTGTTTGTGTTGTTAGCCAATGGCGACTGATCATAACAGATAGGTAACATTCTTTAGCCCAGACAAAAGTTTGATGTGCTGTAGGATTCGCAATCGTGAAAGTTGTGCAAAACCTGTGATTGAAACTTGCCAGCAGTGTCTTCTTGGCTGAGGCACATTGCTGTTGGTGTGAAGTTGCCAAGCTCTAGCGGGTGCCTTCGGATGCAAATGGAATGCATAAGGCTCTGGAGCACGGGCTCCCTGGACTGCCTTCGATCTTCAAACTACCGCTGCTTTCGCCAAACTGGCACCTGTTGAAAATACGAGGAAGCAGCGTTAGAGGTGTACGAATGTCTCTAGGGTCATATACATAAACGGCAGGTTGTAAAAAATAAAGTCCCTCCACATCATCCTATACAGTTTTTGGTGTGAATTTTACCAAATGGCTCTATATTTGGTCTCAAGCTAAGAATAAACACAAGCTCTGCCCCAGATCTTTTGTTCACGTGCCATTCATCTGTGCAAGTGTGTTGTGTTAGGTGGCTTCTGCTCACACCCTAAGCACTTATTGGCTGCTAATGTGAATACTACGCATACTAAAAATTACTACTTTGTCACTCCAACCAGAAATATCACGTTTGGCTGAGCAGTGGTGTCAGAATCTACTGAAAGTTAGCTGGAAGTTCGAGTTTTATAGTGAGAACCAGTGGCACTAACAATTGTCTGTGCAGAAAAATTATTATCTGAAAACTTCCAAGAAAATGAGCAAATGCGATTGGTTAGGGGAAATGCAATTGGCCGAGCAATCGTGACTTCATAACCCACCATTCTTTCTGAGAATGTTAAATCACACAACGTACATGTCTTGCCTTTCTTGCCTCATTTCCTGCAAAAGTTGTGGCGTATGTCAACAGCAGAAGCGAAATGAGAGCAGATAAATCTTATTATAGTCTTGTAACCTTGTTTGTGTGTTACAGAACAGAGAGGTACTGTTGACTTGCTTGTCATTAGAGGGCTTAACTGCAGAGGCACACTAGCTGCAGACACATACAAAGTTGCACACACCTTTGCTCGTTTGTACAAGTTGTGCACCACAAGACAGTCATAATTAGCGAGCTGTTCCATGCTAGTGTCTTGTGTTGTATACGCTACTTTAGGACATTTAATTCCACTGATTATTTTCACAACAAAGGTAAAAATGTCTTGGTGGCATCTTAGACGGACGCTGCTGTACCTTTAACACTTGCCCGCTTTTAAAGGGACTTTTAAAGCGATTTTTAGCCTATTAGTAAAGTGCAATTTAACGATCCCAAATATACCACTCTTACTGTGACACAATTCTTGGTAAGCGAAAAGACACTCCAAAAGAAAATGAGGGTGGAGATTCCACCTTAAGATTCCCGCACTAAATATCATGATGTCGTAGACTTTGAAGGTGTGTACTGGGTCAAGCTTATTTTTTATTTTATTTATTTTATTTAGGAATACTGCAGGCCTTAATAGGCCCAGGCAGGAGGGGAAAAGTACGAACAAAAGTACAAAGTCTGCAAATATCAAGAATATATACAAGTAGGATCTATACAAAGCAACAACAAAGTGAATCTACTAACAAGTAAATGAGCACTAAAAGAAATGTGATACAAAGAAAATAATATACAATATGAGAAGATAAACAATACAGAACTATCTAATCAATGTACAAAGGAGTTAGTAAAATACTGGATCACTGTATTGAAAGAGGAAGGGCTAGATCTAAGATGAAATGGATGCGATAGAGTCGGTGTTGCTGAGTGTACTAAGAGGTAGGCTGTTCCAGTCGGGTACTGTTCGAGGAAAAAAGGAATACTTAAAGATGTTGGTTCTGGTATTGTAAGGCGTTAATGTGGCAGAGTGGCGATGTCTTGTTCGGCGAGCAGTGAGAGGCTTTATGTAAGGTTCAGGAGAAAGAGACAATTTATTTTTATACAGTAAGAATAGAAATTTAAGCCTGTGAATTTTTCTTCTTAGTTGCAAGGACTGAATGTTGTGTTGGGCCATTAGGTCACTTGGAGAGAGACTGGTGCGATATTTGGAGAAGATGAATCTTACTGCTTTACGTTGGATCCTTTCTAGCACATCGATGTTAGTTTTAGTGTAAGGATCCCATACGATAGCTGCATATTCAAGTTTAGGACGGACAAGAGAGGTATAAGCGGTTAGACGGGTCTCGGGAGGGGCATGTTTTAATTTGTGTCTGAGGTAGCAGAGTTTTTTGAAGGCTGAGTCGCAAAGGTGAGAGATGTGGGAGTTCCAACTGAGATTATTAGTTATGATGACACCCAGGTACTTATATTCATCAACCTCTGTAAGAGGCATGGATGCAAGATTATACGTAAACGAAAGTTTATTAATTTTTTTGGTGATTTTCATAAATACTGTTTTATCAATATTAAGCTGCATGTCCCAGCGTTCGCACCATGTTAAAATTTTTTGAAGGTTAGAGTTTAGGGTGATTTGGTCTTGCTGGCAGGTAATTTCATTAAAGAGTAAGCAGTCATCAGCGAATAATTTTATCTGTACAGGTTCAGTAATAGAGTCAACTATGTCATTAATGTATATATTAAACAATAAAGGTCCAAGAACACTTCCTTGGGGAACTCCAGAAGTAACAGCAAGGTCACTCGAACAGCAATTATCAATTGCAACAAATTGCCTACGGTTAGTGAGGTAAGCAGAAATCCAATTTACTAGGTATGAGGGAACGTCCAGATGAACAAGTTTTTCGATTAGTTTCGCGTGTGACACGAGATCAAACGCCTTCATAAAATCCAGAAATATGATGTCAGTTTGTCCTGATTTGTCGACAACGCTAGCGAGACTGTGAATTACAGTAGTTAATTGGGTTACAGTGGAGAGGCCCTTCCTAAATCCATGCTGCATAGGAGTTAAAATAGCTCGATCATCAAGAAACCTAGTGATTTCGTTAGCAATAATGTGTTCTAAAATGTGTTCTAATGTGTTCTAGCTTCTAATCGATAAAAATGAAGTTCATTGTTTTCACTGAGTGCCACACATCTAAAATTTAAAGTTTTAGTAAATTTCATCGAGCGAGTGTCGTGGAGATACAAAAAAAGAGAGAGAGAAGTGAACGTCAATTTTTGAAACAGTGCCCCGAGCAATGCCCGGTGTCATCCTGAGGTGGGAGGGCTCCTTAGTCCAGGAACACTCTGGCTTCTACTGCCGTCTGGGCCCTGGCGACGAGTTGTTGTTGGTCTTCCAGGTCCTCAAAAGCGAGCTTCACCTCCCACGTTTCGGTTAGGTCTTCGTTTGTCCGTCCTGCATCGTTATCAGTCGTGTGGTGTTGCAATACACTGGCAATACACACGTCTGGCAATACACTGGAATGCAAGAAGCAAGTGCGCCAGGGTGTCCGGTATGTTGCAAAGCGGGCACATAGAGCTACATCTCGTTGAGTAGAGACGGTGCATTAGGGCCCCATGTGTGTATGTGCTGCTTTGCAGGAGTCTCAGTATCATGCTTTCCTCTTTTGTCAGTTTTGGGTGTGGTGGAGGGTACACTCGTTGCTCCAGCCTGTAATGCTGGAGTATACGAAAAGAACATTTTAACATTTTCCACGTTTTTCGTGGAGGTCTCGGTGCGAAACATAAAAATGGAACTTCAACCTTTACTTTTCCCGCTAGTAATTAACTTTAAGATAATCAAACGTATGGCATTACGATTCTCCGACTGTAGTTTGTAAATCTAAACCAAGTCATTGTTTCTGTTTAGTGTCAAGTGCTCAAGAAGACGTAAAAACATAGTCATGATAATACCCATGGTTTTTGCATCCCGAAACCACGAGCCGATTTGAGAGGCGCCACAGTGGAGGCCTCTGGCAATTTTGGCCGCCTGGTGTTCTTTAACGTGCACTGACGTCACATGAGCCTCAACCATTTCATGTCTATCGAAATGTGACCTCCACAGCTGAGATCGAGCCTGCAACCTTCGAGTCAGCAGCTGAGCGCTGTAGCCATTGTTCCACTGAGGTGGACAACATAAAAACATGACAACATTGCCGAGAACGCACCTTATATGTTGTCTTCTGTGCTTCAGTCTCTTTCAATTTCATCCTCTCTGGGCAGTGGGGATGTTTGTTTATACCACACTAAAACTTAAACCTTTCATTCTCATATTAGTAGGGTTTATCGTTGTTTAGTTTTTTGATGAATAAAAACAAAGGACACGGGGCAGCAGCCCATAAGTACCACGGGAGTGCAGATCTCATCACTCCTGCATAAAACATTCATGCATCACTTCACATTGACAGGAAGGAGAGAAATAATGTGGCAGCTGTATTTGCAATATCAGGAGCTCTTTCTTATGCAACCATAAAAAGCATGGAAAGGTCGTTAAAAGCTCAGGAAGGCTGTTGTTAGAGGTCGAAAATGTGGTTGTGTACATTTCCTGAAGCACTGGTTGTTCTGACGTGTTATGAATCGCTAGGCTGCGTGATGGACAGTTCCACAAACAGAATAGGTTATTTGTATGTGCCATTTATGCCAGCAAAAAGCGTGTTGCGGAACATGCACACAAGTCCTATTTTCATGCCATCGTAACTAAATTAATGAGATGAGATGCAGCTTTTCTTTTGTTTGATTTATGACGTGTATGCCCTGATACTCGAGGTTCCTGTCCCTCAGTTGTGCCATCTGTGGTGCGCCCTTTACATGTAGAACAAGCACTCATCTGAGATACAATATCGTTGGTGGGGCAGTGCGAGCACTGCACTACACATTGAAAAAAATTGGGTCGGGCTAATACTATAAATATGTCGGTGCTACTTATCTTCGCTCCGCCGCAACGTTTAGAATGGCAGTGGGAATGGAATTGTTGGTCCCCGCTTCATAGCTAGAATCAGTTTATACCTTGAATAGTGAACCATAAGAATAGAATCAATCACAAGATCATGTCATTTTGAAGAAAATTTGCCTCCTTATCCATAGATCGATCAGTGTATGGTGACAGAGAGCTGTTTTATCTAATAATTATAACACAGAATCAGAATTTCATTAGGGCCCGAGCTTGTATTTTTTCTTCAACGGAAAGGGGGAAAACTGAAAGAGAATTATGGGGTGTGTATGGACTAAAGGTGATGTCGACGTGGAAGAGATTGGACAGAGATTAGATCTATGTGCAGTATGTTATGCATTTTCAGTCTCAAAGGGAGCCTGTTAATGGAGTTGGGGCTGATTCAAGCGAATTGAACATTAATTAAGTACAGAAAAAAACAAGAAAGAAAACACCAAGGTGCGTGCTCAATGATCTAAAGGCTTTTCGTTGAACTGAACAACAATGCTTTCTTACTCTTTATATTCTCAAGATGTCTTTTCAATATTTCCTTTGTTATTCTCATGGAAGAGGCATATGAAGCAGGTAACATTTCAACCTTTTGTTCTAGGCGTCTCATCAGTCTCTTAGAGTTTGAGCCTGTGGCATGTTTCTCTCTTTTTCC